AAAAATAGTTGCACAACTTGAAGAATGTAATCAATGTTACTAAATTATACATGTAGAAACTGTTGAATTGCTGTATGTTTTGCTGTGTATAGTCTCCATAATAACAAAATAAATACAATTTAGAGAAGAAAAGAAAAAAGATTACAGGCTTGGAAACCCTACAGGGTAGTTCTACTCTGTCTCATAGGATTGTTATGAGTTGGAACCCACTTGATGGCAATGGATTTGTTTTTCACAAACTATAATATTCTCTCTACTTTTCTGAATGTTTGATGGTTTTAATAATGAAAAGAAAGTTTGTGTGTGTCTGGGAGGAGGGGGATGCTTTGCAGGAGCTCCATTCAATGGAGGTAGGAAATAAAGATAAATACAATCCAGAGAGACAGAGGGAAGGAAGCCTGGAGTGTTCTGGGAGCACAGAGGTGTTTCACAAGCAGATTGATTCCAGGAGTGCTGATCAGGAAAAGATGATTCTAAAGCTAGTTCTTTTATAAATCAGTCTTATTCAATGTTCTACACCCTACTGTGGTGAGTAGTGACTGCGGTCTTAAAAGCTAGTGAGTGGCCAACTAAGGTACAACTCCATCTGAAGCAAAGAAGAGTGAAGAAAATCAAAGACGCATGGAAATAAATACTCCAAAGGGCTAACGGACCACATGAACCTCAGTTTCCGTGAGCCTAAGACCAGAAGAATTAGATGGTGTCTGGCTACCACTGCTAAGTGCTCTGAAAGGGATCACAATAGAAGGTCCTGGAGAGTGTGGGAGAAAAATGTGGAACAAAACGAAAATCATAAAAAAGACTGAGCTCACTGGTTGGACAGAGACTGGGAGAACCTTCAAGATTATGACCCTTAGTCACCCTTCAAGCCTGGAACTGAACTCACCCCAGTGGCTCAACTTTCAGCCAAACAATAGATAGTGAACAATAACACCAGGGAGGTAACACTCCTTAGGAAAATCAACCATTTGAGATCAAAAGAGCAGCTTTTATCCAGGGGTAAAACTCAGAAGGCAGGAAGGGATAGGAAAGAAGGACAAAGGGAAATGGTAAACATAGGGAGGAAGTGGGAAGAGTGCTGTTACACTGTGGGGATTGCAATCAATGTCACAAAACAAAATGTATATAAATTGTTGAATGGAAAACCATTTTTCTCTGTAAACTTTCACTCAGATCACAATAAAAAGTTAAAAAAATAAAATCAGTTTTATTACAAAAGTAATTACTGAAATGAATACACCAAGCCAGATGGAGGGAGAGGGACTCTGTACCAAGTAACAGAGTCCAGAGAAAGAACATGGAATATTGACGAAAACAGAAAGTAGTTCATAGGCTACAAAGGATGGTGCAAAAGAGTGAGAGAATATATATGATTAGAGAGGGAGCAATCAGCATGTGAACCTTACCCTGAGGGCTATGGAGAGCCATTGAAGGAGCTGAAGTAGGGGGAGGGACATGCTCACATTTGTGCATTAAGAAAGTTTAGCCTTAGTAGGTATGTCTATGAAGGGGGGAGTGTACCCAAGAACATGTATAGGGTTGGCAGACAATGGTCCTACATTTATGTGTATGATCTGAATTCCTACGTGTATAGTAGAGCTGACAAGGGGCAAGGTTGTAGTCACTTCTTGGTCACAGCCAGCTACCCAGAGGGACTGAGTAGTTGAACCTGTGGGCTCAGGACCATAGTCGCAGGGGACAATTGTGCTCAATTGGCATAACATACTACACAAAACATTGTTCCACCTCCTACTTTGGTGAGTAG